GGGGGGGCAGGAATTCATCTCGAATCCTCACGTCTGCCCACCACCACCCTGGGGGGGGGGAGTGGAATTCAGACATTGGTCCAAAGACCGGGTTCCCCTTTGGGGTGGGGGTGGGGTGGGGTGGGGGTGACCTTTTTGCGAAACCTTCGAAACCCCTGACCGTGGTTGGCGGGGGCGAGCGAGGGAGCCTTGTTTTAAGACGGTATCCAGGGTCAGGGTGCGAGGTGTGTGTGTCTGTGCGTTTGTGTGGCGGACTCTCCCATCCTTTTAATGTGGGATTCTCCCCCCCCCCCCGATCAGGCCAAAAAAAACCCACCTGGATCTCTTCTGAGTTTTCCCTCCTTCGAAAAGCGGCTGGCCATTCTTTCTGCGAACGAGTCCGCACTGCATGTGTGAACGCGTGGATTCTCTCTTTCCCCCCCTCCATGCACGTGGCAACCGGTAACGGAGGTTAATTTATAAAAGTTAAACTGGACCAGCTTCTCTTTTCCCCCCCCCCTCTCCTCCTGGGGGTGTGTGCCTCCCCCTCACTTCCCTCCCCCCCAAGCCTGCTTTCTCACCCTGGTGCTAACTCTGGACACCACACACACACACACACACACACACACACTCACTCGAGGGGGGTCTTCTGAGGTCTCTGAGCCGCTTTCCCCCCCCCCCTGGAATGGTGAAGTTTGTGCGATTCGCACCAACATCGGTTTTTAAAGGATACCTTCGGGTTAACGTTGTTGTATGGTGCAGCAGGCAGGGTAAGGGGGTGGGTGGGTGGGCTTGGGGGTGTCCACAGCTGCAGCCAGGTCTGAGGAGGGGGTCTTGGATCGGAAGCTGTTCCCCCCCCACCCCCAAATAAGACCAAAGGACAAGCAAGGGCTTTTGAACCCCCACGTCGAGGCTTTCACAGACAATCCCCAGATGTGGTTGGATCCTACAGAGGTTGCCGGGGGGGGGATTTACACATTTGGATCCCATGAAGCTCTTTCCAAGGGGGGGGGTGCCTTGATTTCTCAAGTGAGGAAGGGTCTGCCGCCGTTTTACATTTTTGTCCTTATTTGCGCCTTTAACGCGCCTCTGAAAAAACGGCTCCCGGGATGATTTTTTTTCCGCTTTCATTTTGCTAGGATTTACTGCTGATCTTACCGCTTCTATCCCTGCTTCCTGCCTCCCCCCCCCGGTGCCCCCCCCAGGATTCAGCTGGGCGATTGATCCTTTTTTTTTTACGCATCATGGCGGACCCAACTCTGATCTTTACCCTATCCCCCCAAAAATTAAACCTCTATTTTCCTGTTCCCCAAATAGAATTTAATTCTTATCCCATATTAAGACGGTGTAAGGGGGGGGGCAGTCTGGTCTGCTCCTTCTCAACTATGGACAAAATACTCCCCCCCCCCCATTACGTGTAAACTTTCCTTTTAAACTTTCCTCTCTTTTTTTTTTTGGAAAATCCTTTCGCCAAAGCCTTGACCGCTGATTAAACAGAAACTCTTCTTTTAACCCTCCTTGGTTGAATTTTGTGATAATTGGGGCTGGGGGAAGAATAACAAAGTATAGAGGTGTGTGTGTGTGTGTGTGTGTGCTGCCAGCATGAACAGGTTGGTGACCTCTGCTGCAGAGGTATGCTTGACCTGTGGTGAGCATGCAACCTCTCCTATTTGGGAAGAGTAAAAAAGGGTTGGGAAGAGTAAAAAAGGGTTGGGAAGAGTAAAAAAGGGTTGTGTGCTGGCTCGCTGGCCAGTTCGTTTACGTTCCCCCTTGAGAAGCAGCAGCTACCACCGATGGAGCTCTGGGTGAGAAGATGATGGCTTCCTGCT